AAATAATACTTTTTACGCACTATAATTATTTAAAAAATAGTGTACAAAATTTTATTCTTCATTTGCTATTTTATATATATAAATAGAATTTATTTTTTTTATTTACAAAGAACACCCAACATTTTGGGATGTTTTGTTCCTTTTAGTTTTAAAAACCTAATTTTTCATTATTTTCATATTAGTTTTAGTCATTATTTAATTTTTTTCGAAATTTTGTATTCTCTTTTGAAAAATTAAATTATTATTTTATACACCAAAAAAAATCTTTTATCTACATCAGCGATATGTTTCACTAAAACAGCGAAAGTTTTTGCTTATCTAGAGAAATATATCACTGTTTCAGAGAAACATATCACTGTTACAGGTGAAGATTTTTTTTTTATTATTTTCTTACAATTTTAGTCGAATTCTTGAATTATTTTTTCATAATATTCCTTTCTTTTGATAAATTAAATTATTATTTTCTTATAATTTTAGTATTCTTTTTGTTCGAAATTCGTTTCTTGTGTACCTTTTTTCGGATAATTTAGAGTAAGGGAAAAAAAAGTTTCTTTATTTTTTTTATAAAAATTATCGATTATATTTTATAAATTGAGATAATATTTTAAGCTTCTTTGGTTGGATAAACTCATTGTCACGCACGAAAGCAATTAAGGAATGGCGTTAGGCTTGAAAATCACGTGTATATATATATATATGAGATGAAAGATAAGGTTCTTAGATCGATGGCCAAGAGTTCATTGGCTTTTTTGATGTGTGTGGGTTCTTATTACGCGATCTTTGAGCCGTGACCTTCAACTTTGACCTGAGTAAGATCTTTAAACACACATAGAAAGAGACCTCGTTGTGGCCACGTGGACGCGCGTCAAGTTAAAATCGCGCCTCCTCGATAGTTAAAAATAAATAATACCCACACTTGCAAGTGAAAAAGAGTATGAGGCAGAACGTCTCGAGAAAATCTAACCTTGTTACGATTTGTTTTTGAACCAAGGGCCTAATTTGGCAAATGTCAATATACATAGAAAAATTAAAACAAATAAATAAACAAATGTCATAAGTTTTTTTTTCCTCTTATTTGCATTAATAATTTTTTTTAATGAAGATAAAAAAATTTTTTTTTCTGTATTCAAGTAGATGCTTTTTAATTTTCTTTTTTTTCTTTTTAAAATATGTTTTTTGTTTTTCGAAATTAGCTCCAAGAATATTGTTATTTATATCAGAAGATGAATTTTGCTTTTGATTTTCTCCGTTTTCATTCAAAAATGTATTTTTTTTTTTTGAAATTTGCTCCAAAATTGTTTTTAGATATTTATAGACAAAAAAAAATTTATTTGATTCCAATAATCGCTTACTATAGACTATTATCAAATAAATATTTATTTTGTTACAAAATAACTATTACATCGTTCGACAAAATTCAACTTTTTTTTTGATCTAAAAAAAAATCCAACATTTTTGGAAACGGTATCTGGAAACGGTATTTGGGGGTTTTTGGGGTCGCTGATTATTAATCTAATGTCAGATTTTTAAAATTCAAAATGGCGGTGAAAATTTTAAGAAGTTATTAATTTTTTATTTTATATCCGCCATTTTGAATTTTGAAAATATAACATCTGATTCGACATCAGCGACCCCAAAAACCCCTAGATACCAAATTTTATAAAAAATTAATAACTTCTTAAAATTTTGACCGCCATATTGGATCCGCCATTTTGAATTTTGAAAATCTGACATCAGATTAATAATCAGCGACCCCGAAAACCCCCAGATACCAAGTTTTATAAAATATTAATAATTTTTAAAATATATCTTGTCATTTTTCATTTAGGGGTTGTTTTCACCCCTAAAAACCACAAAAGATCTAGCAAAACGGCCAGACACGGATATTTTTTTTTTGGATCCTAGTTTCCGAAAATGTTGGTTTTTTTTTGTGGGTCAAAAATCGTGTCGGACGGTGTTATTTAAGGCAATTAAATGGTACTTGTTTCAAATAAAAAAAAATATTGGTTCAAATACAGTTTTTATTGTATACAAATAAAAATTATTTAGTTCAAGTAAATATTTATTGGATAATAATCAAGTAATTGATTATTTGTATTAAATAATTTTTTTGAGTGTGTTTTCCGTTTTGATTTAAATAATTTTTTTTTTTCGAAATTAGCTTCAAAATTATTTTTAGGCATTTATAAGGTGAATTTTGTTGTCAATTTTTTTTTTGATTTTGGATTTAAATATTCTTTTTTTTTATATATTTTTCAAAAATATCCCCAAAATTGTTTATTAAGTAATATTTACAGTTTGAAAAAAATGGTGAATCATAAAAAAATGTCATTTATTATCGAAAAATGGAATAATTGAAAAATGAAGATATTTGAAAAATTCAATATTTTGATTTACGATATACTTAATTTTTTTTTGTTATTTAAGTGTATTTTCACATCCAGATTTATTATGGATGGATAAAAAATGTTTTTCCAGTGAAGTAAACAAGATTAGGGATTTTTTTTTTGAAACCATTTTTCCCCTTTGATTATTATTTTTTTTTTTTTTTTTTTTTTTTAATGAACTTGGTAGATTGCCAAGTTTCATAGTATATATAAAAGATAATTATATCAACTTTGAGAGCAACTCGTAGTAGCTCTTTTGCGCGAGAGAAGCATAAATTTTGTCGTTTAATTCTGAATTTTATTTTGGCTCCTCTCTATCAAGACATCTATCTTTCCTCACCGACTTTTTGGAACGAGTTTTTTTTTCTTTCTCTCTCTCTCTTTTCATTATATAGACGCAATAACTTCACTCATCATTTTCTTCTTTTCTCTCTATTTCTTAAGTGCGTGATTTTATCTTTTAAAAGAGAGAGAGAGAGAGAGAGAGAGAGAGAGAGAGAGAGAGAAAAGCTAGTGACGTTATTTTTGCACGACAACTATTATTAGTATCAGTACTCATATATATGAGTTCGCGGCCAAGAATATCTCGCGCGCGCGGTATGTCCCTCGACGTGTGCATACATTTTACCTGCTCAAACCGCTTTAAAATTTCCCCCCTCTCCCCTTCTTCTCTTTTGACGTTTCGTGTACGAAATTTACACCTCGACTTCAATTCGTTGCACGCAAGGACGTTATATATGTTATAGGTCACTCTCTCTCTCCCTCTGTTTTTCTTTCTCTCTGTATTAGATTTTGGACGCAGATTATTATCAATCCCGAAGGCAATTCAGTGACAGGAAATGTAGCGCAGAAATTAATTTGCAACAAGATAACAAACTTCTTACTCTAAGCATGACATTTCACTTTTGTACATTTTATCTAAAATAAAAATTCAAGGTTTTGAAAATCGGAAATTGTTTTTAGAAAAATTTGTAAAGATCGAAATTTTTTTTTTGAAATTAAAAAAGAAGAACTATTTTCTGAGTCACTGTACAAAAATTTGGTATTTTATTAGATTTGAAAAATTTAGTAAAAAAAACTTTCTCTAAATAATTTTTTTCTTTTTTTCTTATTTTGATTGACAAAAAAATTTGTTAATGGAAAAAAAATTTATTTTTTACACCTTATTGTTATATATGAGGAAGAAGAATTTCTCCGATAGTTAAATAAATTTTTTGCCTATATGTGAAATTAATTATAAAACAATTGAAACTTTTCAATATTGATGCGGATAAGTAATATTGAATTTATAATTCATTCGGAGAAGAGAGTTCAATACTTTGTATATAAGCTAGGTGAGTGGCCTAGTTTTTTTTTAACTGTCAAACATCAAACTCTCAATGTTTCATATACTCAATAGGAATTTTTTTTCTTTTTTTAAAGTTGAAATTTCCTATTTATTTTCTCCTTTTAGATAAAAAAAAAAAAAATTCATATTGAAGGAAATTTACGATGCAATTGTTTTCTTTTTCATTACGAATATCATAGTATGTTTTCTTATTTCGATGCAGGAAAATAGTTTTGATTCTGTGCGCTTATTTTATTATCAATCTAATAATTTGCATGGCGTCAGTAATTCTGTTCTCTCTCGACATCGAAATATATATATATATATAACCGGGTAATCGGGCCGAACATAAAACATAAAACGAAACTACCAATCGATTAGTTTTGCTGGCATTCAAACACCCCCCCCCCCACAATATATTCCAATCTCAATTATGAGGCTTATAACATGAAATTGATTTTATGCCTTTAAAATTGACAGCTGTTGAAATTTCACATAAAATATTTGATAAGAAATATATTATATTGAATTTATTTATTAATAAATAAATTTATAGATTCAAAGCCCTTTGGTACAAAGTACTTTACAATGAATATAAAATAAATCCTTGTTAACAACAAATTATTATATTTTATTAATAATTATTTATAACTTATTTATATTTATAATAAGTAATTATTTATAACTATTTATATTTATAATAAGTAATTATTTATAACTATTTATATTTATAATAAGTAATTATTAATAACAAGTTATTTATATATATAATAATTTTTTTTTTGTTTCTATATAAATTAACAATTGATTTTTTGTAAAAAAAATATTACCAATATTTTATGTTATTTAATATATTATAAAAAAAAAAAGATTTTTGATTTTGTATTCTTTTTTTTTCCCCGAGTTAAAAAATTGAAATTGAAGAATGTTTTTTTTTTTTACGTGACCTGGCATGACCTCAAAACTCCATATAGAGGCATTTTTTATGCCCTCTCCCCTTTTCCTCGCCCCGAAACACTATAGCTGTAACGTTGCCAAATTTTATATAAGCTATATCACCACTATTTCTATTGCCGATTCCACAGCCCCCCAAGCTATTTGAACTTTATCCATGCTTCACATAAAATTCTTCCAAAAAAAAAAAAAAAATTTTCTACAAAATATTTTTACTCAGAATTTTATTGCAATTTCACCGGTAAAATTTTTTTTTTTTCAATAATAAAATTGTTAATTTCTAAAATTTAATTTAATTTTGTTTATATAATTTTTATTATTTATTTTTTCAGGTGGTGCTTGTTTTCATTCTCAGCATAGCGTCGCTTATAATATATTTCATTGATGCCTCCAGGTGAGTAATTAATCTTAATATTTAGTTACAATTTAATTTAAATGAAGAACAAACAAAAAAAATATTTTTTCTAATGTAAATAGTTATTATTAAATAAAAACGGTATTTGATTCAAATATTTTTCTGGATCAAAAGAAAAAAATTTTTTTTTTGGAAAATTCTATTGTCATATCGATTAAAAAAAATGAGCAATTTTTGGCAAAAGTAATTTTAAAAATATTTCTTGAATTAAAAAACAAATAAATTTCTTTTTTTTCTTGATATCTGTTACAGCGAGGAGGTGGAGCGTTGCCAGCAGTGGAGTAACAACATTACTCAGCAGATAGACTTAGCTTTCAATATATTTTTTATGGTCTACTTTTTTATACGCGTAAGTATCACACTTGACCTGATATTTTTATTGTAAAATATTCTTTATATATATATATATATATATATATATATATATATATATATATATATATATATATATATATATTCAATATGATAGGCAGACGAATGTATTTTATACAATGATTCCGATATATGCAATATGGAAAATTATTGCATATATGTAAAGTCTTTAATAACGCAAACGTAGATTTATAATGTTACTACCATGCGTGTTGATATTGCATGCCAATAGAGTAACGATGTTTAAATAGCAGATTAAATTTACTACTAAATATCGTTTATAAGCTCGGTCAAAATTTACAGCCTATTTTGACGCACTTAATGATATTTAGATCCTTCATTGATGGTTTTATGGCTGTTCAATTGCTTTCACTTTAAACTGAAAATTATTCAGTGATTTAATAAACCTCGATACAAAATAAAACTTGTTGAAATTTTTATAAATATTGTTAAATAAATTAAAATATTTATTTAAAATTTACTTGAGTCTATAACTAAAACTTACGTTTACTATTACTTATACTGACAGTTAAAAAATTAGGCTGACAAAAGACGATTTGTACTACTGAGACAATATTGTATACACTTTGTCTGACTAAAATGTACTTTTATCACTTCGAGAAGAATTTAAATTTTCTGATTTAATCACAGTTTTACTAGTTAAATACGAAAACTTTTTTTTTGTCCTGACTTATCACTTTTACTACTTATTAAAAATTTGAAATTGTTTTGTCTTACGGAAACGGTTTTAGTGATTTTCTTTTTTTTATTAATTTTAAATTCAGTGTCTGAATTTTTTTCTACTTTGATGAGAAATAGAAGAATTGGAATATTTTTGACTATCCCAGGTAGAAAAATTAACATTACTAACGTTACTAATATTACTAACGTTACTAATGTTACTAACGTTAGTACCTATAAAAAAATTAAGAAAGTGTTTCTAAATTGTATTTTTGCAGAAACTTGTCGAAAAGCGACCACCAGGAAGTATTTAATGTTCTTACCCGCACTTTTTATAATTTTCATTCCCATTTTCACTTCCACTTTTTTATTTTCATTACCGTTTCCACTTTCACTTTTTCTAATTCTCATTCCCATTTTCACTTCCACTTTTTTATTTACATTACCACTTCCACTTCTACTTTTTCTAATTCTCATTCGCAATTCCATTCCCACTTCCTCTCTTTCTAATCCTCATTTCCACTTTCACTTCCACTTTCACTTTTTCTAATTTTCATTCCAATTTTCACTTTTTTATTTTCATTACCACTTCCACTTCCACTTTTTCTAATTTTTATTCCTACTTCCCTTTTTCTAATTTTCATTCCCACTTCTACTCCCATTTTTTCCACTTCTAATTTTCATTAGCTGTTGCCATTTCGACTAAAACTGTTTTTAGTTTCCATTTACACAACCATTTCCACTTTTTTTAATTACAGTGGATGGGAAATGGGAGTGAAAATATAAAAAAGTTGTAATGAAAATAAAAAAGTGGAAGATGAAATGGGAATGAAAATTGGAACAAGTGGAAGTGGAAGTGAAAGTGGGAAGGAAAATTAGAAAAAGTGGAAGTGAAAGTGGGAAGGCGAATTAGAAAAAGTGTAAGTGAAGTAGGAATGAGAATTAGAAAAAGTAGAAGTAGAAATGGGAATGAAAATTATAAAAAGTTTAAGTGGAAGTGAAAGTGGTAATGGGAAAGTAGTGGCAAAGTTTCTGTGAAAATATATTTTAGAAACTCTTAATTTTTTTATAGGTACTAACGTTAGTAACATTAGTAACGTTAGTAACGTTAATTTTTTCACCTGGGATCGAAAACTACTACTTACATCAAAATTAATTGAATAGGAATTATTTTCACATGAATTTAAATAGTATTGTCTGACTAAAAATTACTTTTACTACTTTACATATTAAATTAACAGAATATGAATTATTTTTACAAGAATTAAAATAATATTGTCTGATTAAAAATTACTTTTACTATTTATGTAATTATTAGAAGAAGTTACAACTTTTTGTCTGACAATAGCCGTTTTTTTACTACTGATACTGCGCTTTTTTGAATTATTATTCATAGTTAATTAAAACTTGCTTGTACTACTTATATACTTTTTTTTGAAAAGAATATAGACGGTCTGACAGACATATAATTTTACTACTTGCACCTGATAATTGAAACAATTTGAACTATTTTTGTCTGATTTAAACTTTTACTACTTGTACTAAAATCAAAAATATTTATAAACCTCTTTTGTCTGAGACAAATAATTTCGTACTACTAATACCATAGTTTGAAATATTTTGTCTGACTATAACTGATTTTTACTACTTGCAATAAAATGGCAAAATATTTATTAAAGCTCTTTTATCTGTCAGGAATAGTGATACCACAGTTTGAAATATTTTGTCCGACTAAAACTGATTTTTACTACTGATTTTATAACTTGAAGAATATTAATTCTGCCCTGGAGTATTTTTCCAATTTTTAATATATAACTTTTATATTTTTTAACAGTGTCTGACTGAAACTGACTTTTACTACTAATACCAGAAAAATAATTTCAAGTCTGCCAAACGAACTTTATATGTCTGACTAAAACCTGCTTTTACTACTTGTAATTTTTAGAAAAATAATTGAAACAGTCTTTTGTCTGACAGAAACGATCTGTTACTACTAATATCAAAATTAAATTTTTTTTTACTTCATTGACTTGTACTACTGACATTAAAAGAATAATTAACGAAATATTTCATTAATTGATAAAAAAAAGTACATTTTTAACTCAATTAAAAACTTGATTTATTTACATTTAATTATTATTTAATTATAATAATAGTTTAATTTAATATAAATTAGAATAGGAATTCATTGAAAATTATCAATTTAATAGAAATGGATGAATAAAAAAAAAAAAAAAAAAAATCTGTTGTAGTTTATCGCCGCCAGTGACAAGCTGTGGTTCATGTTGGAGATGTATTCGTTCGTGGACTACTTTACGATACCACCGTCTTTCGTTTCGATCTATTTGGATCGAACATGGATCGGACTGAGGTTCCTTCGAGCCCTACGACTGATGACAGTCCCTGACATCCTCCAATACCTCAACATTCTAAAAACATCGAGCTCCATTCGCCTCGCTCAACTTGTATCCATTTTTATCTCCGTCTGGTTGACTGCTGCTGGCATTATACATTTGGTAAAACAAAACAAAAAATTCATTATACCTTTCAATTATTTCTATATATTATAATTTTATAATTTTTTATAATTATTCTGTAGTTTAGTAAAATTTATAAGGATAATTTTTTTTTTGACATAACTCAATTGAGTCACATCAAATAGAGAGGAATGTTGAAAATATTTTCCTAAATTAAAAAAAGAGAGAAAAATTAGAAAAAAATACATTAATTATAATTTATTTGAGAAGGAAAAAAATTTCCTTGGGTGTTTCATAAAATTTGTTTCCAAGATTTTATACTTTCTAATTAGGAAAAATATAATCTTTTTCCAGGGACCTGTTTTCAGTTTTTTTTTTTTTTTTTCTTTTACATGTTTCGTATATATATATTCTTACAACACGCGAGAAAATTAACCTCATTTTAAATAAGTTTTTGTTTTAAATTTAAAACACTTTTTTTCATCTCTTGAAGAAAGTATTGAATTCTTTTTTTTAATAATCGTTTTTCGATACTTGGTTATTTTTTTCAATTTCTCCATTTTGTAAATTATTTTTCGTTTTTATTTTTTTTTAAGATAATAATTTGCTATGAGTGAAATATTTATAGTTTATGGTTATTTGTAGTTATTTATAATTATTTATAGTAATTTATAGTAATTTATAGTAATTTATAGTAATTTATATAGTTATTTATTTATTTATTTTTTTTTTAATATTTTAATGTTTTCAAAATGAAAATATATTTTTTTCCAAACGAAAGTTTAGAAAACTTTTTAATTTAATACACAGCTTGAAAACTCAGGGGACCCTTTTGAGTTCACGAATCCACAACAGCTTTCATATTGGACATGCGTGTATTTCCTGATCGTGACTATGTCAACTGTGGGTTATGGTGACGTTTACTGCCAGACGATACTCGGCCGTACATTCCTAGTATTTTTTCTACTCGTCGGTTTGGTAAGCTTCTTTTAATGATTATTTTAGAGGAGAGTAAAAAAATTAATTTTTTTTCCTTTCTTAATTTTAATGAAAACAAAAAAAAAAAAAAAAAAAAAAAAATGAAATTAGTAGCGCCATAGGCGTTAAAAAAAAAAGAAGGCCGGGGCTTGCTCCTATTATTATAAAACAGTGGACAAAAAAAAAATTCACGCAAGTTCTTTTTTTGGCTTTGTAGAATTTTATAAAACAATTTTTTTTTCTCGCAGGAAGCGGATCTCGGCTTTCTCAAAAAAAAAAAATGAATAAATTGTTCTTGTTACAGAGTGCGAAACGAATATTTTTAATACTTTTTTTTCTATCTTATATTTTATAATTGATATAATTTTTTTTGTAATAAAAAATTCCATTTTCGAGAATAGATTTTTTTAGGGGTAAAAATTTTAAATGCGCGATGTTGCTCTAAAAAAAAAAAATTATATATGAAAATTTTCTCTTTCGCTGCGCTGCTTTATTCGTTTCGCACATTTCACGTTGCTATGCGCGCCTGTATTTGCTTCTTTCATGAAAACGTTTCGCCAAAAAGACTATTTACTACTATTTCGTTCTCTTCAAACTTTTTTCTATTTTTTGTGGTGGCTTTATACGTGATCTCTGCTCTATATATTTTTATGTCTACGTTCAATGAAAGCAGCGACTACACGCGCTTACGACTTCTCTTTCAGAAATTAAACAATATAATCGTCCTCCGTTAATCTCATATTATTAATAACAAAAAAATTATTTATATTTATCAAATATTAATTACTTTAATAATTACTTATAATAAATATACAAAAATTAAATAAAATTGATTAGAAAAGTAAAAAAAAAAAAGAATTAAAAAATAGAGGAAGGGATAATAAAATGAGTAAATTATTTTTTAATAAAGAGTTTATCGGACGACAATAGGTAAAATAAAAAAATAAAAAAAGTGAAATACTTTGTTTGAATGGTGATATAAATTGCATGGTGTATGCACGATTCTTAATGACAAATAACAAATTCATGTTTTTTTTTCTCCAATTAATTAAATTTTTTTCCAAAAAGTTTGCATAAAATTTATTAACTAATTTTATTTGAAAAAAAATTTTTAATCCTTCGAGAGTAAAAAAAAAAAAAAAATCTAGTATCACCCTTCAAACGAGAGCTTCGTTTATTGCAACTTTTTTCCAAGCATTCGAAATGAATTTCTCTAATAAGAAAGATGGAATTAAAATATTTTCTAAGCTTCGAAAAACGTTTATGAAGTCACACGGTATTGACATATATATATATATTTTTTATGAAAGGTATATAAGGACTTAATTCGTTAATTTCAATATTGAAACCTACTAAAAATATTTTTAAATTAAAATTTCAAATAAGTTTTAAATAATAAATAACTTTTTACTAATAAGAAAATTAAATCAGAAAAAAAACATTATAAAACTCGCTAATATTGAAAAATTTTGTAAAAATTATTTCTAAGTATAATATATATTAATTATTAAAATTAAAACTATTTTATAAAATTTTTAGTTATATATTGTAGAAAATAACGAATTAGGATTTTATATTGTTAATGATCAAGGCCAACTTAAGTCACCGATCAGCTTCACCTTATTTTACATAATTTTTGTAAATAAAAACACGACAAACTTACAGTATATATATATAATATTTCCCTTTTTTTTCCTAAAATCGCGATTATAAATTTTCGATTAATATCGCGATATTGACGGAAGGTTCTTTTTTTTATATTTTCTATACTTTCGCAAACCGTCAAAAAAAAAAAAAAAGAAAATTACTCGCATAATTACAAATAGAAAAATTGCGAAATTTTTAAAACAAAATTAAAAAGAATTGCAAAAGAAATTATGAAATAATTTTTTTTTAAGCGTTTACTGGCTACCTTTGCCTTATGCCTATATACCTTTAGGACCATTATTGGCAATTATTGCGATTGTGTTTATAATCGGTGAGCCTAATTTTTGCTTGAAAAATTTTTTCGCTTACTAAAATTTACTTAACTTTTTTTTTATAATAATAGTTTTATTTTTTTTTAATAATAATTTTATTTTTTTTTTAAATAATAATTTTATTTTTTTAAATAATTTTATGTTTTTTATAAGAATTAAAAGAAGAATTTAAATAGCGTTTTGTTTGACTAAAATTACATTTACTACTTATGTAAACGGAAGTAAAAGAATTTAAGTCTATTGTCTGAGTGAAACTGGTTTTTACTACTGATTCTAAATATTTTACAGTTTGTCTGACTGAACGTTACTTTTAGTATACTTTTACATGGAATATAAAAACTATTTTGTCTGACTGGAATTCGCTTTTACTGCTTACACGAGACTTGAAACACTTTTTAATATTCTGTCTGACTAAAAATCACTTTTACTACTTACCGAGGAATTGATAAAAACATTAAAACGTTATGTCTGACTAAAACTCTTTTTTTCTACTTATTGTATTTTCATTGTTTTGTCTGACTGAAATTTACTTTTACTACTTACATTTATTTTTTATATTAACCGTTATGTCTGACTGAAACTTGCTTCTACTACTTACATTTATTTTTATATAAAACGTTTTGTCTGACTGAAACTTGCTTCTACTACTTACATTTGTTTTTTAACTCGTTTTGTCTGACTGAAACTTGCTTCTACTACTTATATTTATTTTTTATATAAACCATTTTGTCTGACTGAAACTTATTAGTTTTTTAAAACTGAAAATAATTTTGTCTGACTAAAACTTACATTTACTACTGCTACCATTTTTGGCTCCATTTCTCACTATATTTGCCTACTTTAAACCAGAATTAAGCAAATCAATTGTAAACACAGTCCACATTGGTTACTTCGTATTCCTGTCGTATAGTGATATATAAACAATTTTTGAAGAAAAAAAAATGAAAAAAAAAATAAAACAAAAAAAAAGTAAAGTAAAACTAAAATAAAAAAACAAATAATATTCATAAAAAAAATTTTACAGTAAAAATAGAAGTAAAAATAATTTTTTTCATTACTGACAAGTATTAATTTGATTCTTCTTTTTAAAAAAAAAAAATAATTATATACTTGTGACATAGGTATCGTTTATTTAAAACGGTCAATTATTCAATACGTGGAGGAATTTTTTTTGTAAATTTTTTTTTCTTTCTCTTTTTTTTTGTACAATGTTTTTTTTGTATAGATTTCTCCCAATAAAGGGAAAAACAGAGAATGCTCATATAAAAGTGAGTTGAAAAACGCATCGATAAAACAAAACGGCTTGGTAATGTCACTTGCAATCTTCTGGCTCTGGTCCAGGACGAATCGAAATGCTTTAATAAAAATACTCAAGGGGGCGGGAAAAAGGGAGATTGCTATTCGAAGGATATTCCTATGCAATACGGAATACGAAATGCCACTAGGATCATGAAACGATCTATATATCGTACTCGTGCTTTTTATATATATATATATATATATATATATATGTATATATATAAAAAAAACCTACACGCCTCACTTATTTCGTAAAATGATCTTTATATGATTCACATTACAAGTGACACCTTTTCGGTCTTTATAATTTTATTTTTATTTACAAATCCCATATAGGGTACATCTTTCTCTGTAGAAAAGTACTTCCCCCCAAACCCCCCGCCCCCCTTTAGAATCAGTTCATTTCTCTTTTTGAAATTGTATTTTTACTATATATTCAAAATTTTTCAACAGGCCATCGTGAAAAAATTGTATTTTTAATTTTAATTTTTTTTTTTATTTTTACTAAAATAATTAAAATATAATAATATATGAATTTATATTTTTATTGTGGGGAAGAATAATTAATGCTTAAAATATTTGTTCATATTTATTTTCTTTTGATTTTAGAAATAGAAATTATGACTTTGTTCTCAATTTCTATATTTATTTAACAATTTATGATCTTTGATTGGTGAAATTTTTTTGCCAACTCTCTTATCATTTAAAAATAAAATGATTTTTTTTTTAGATAAAATATTTGTCAAGAAAAATGAATGTATAAAATAAATAGAAAATAAAAATTTATTTGCGTTTTATAATAAAAGAAAGTTTTTTTTTTGAAACAATATTTTGGAAATGTCCTTTTTTTACGATGGCCAAATTTACTTTTTTTTTGTATTCAAGATTTTCTGGATTCACTTTACTTAATTCCACTATTTTTTTTTTACAAATGAGAAAAAAGGAAACAGTAATTATTACCATTTGTAAAATTTAGAAATTTATTTAAATATTTGGGTAAAAACTATTTTTTTTTTGTCAGCATTGAATCAATTTTCTAAATTTTTTTACAATTATACTTTTACTAAAAAACTTAAAATTACAATTCTTTGACATATTAATATAAAATATTTCCAAAAATGAATAGTATAAATTTTTTTTCTTCTATAAATTAGATAATAAATAATAAAAGTGCGTCAAAAATTATTTTTTTACACTATTGAACTTTTTTTTTCAAATATTAAATATTTTTTGTAAAATTTTTATTCGATACAAAATTTTTGTTGAAAATAAAAAATAAATTATTAATTGTGAAAAAAAAATTAAGTGGAATTGGGGCAAGTTGTTGATTCCATTTTGAATCTCGAATTTTTTTTTTATTTTTTTTTTTTTTATAGGGATTTTATAATATGACGAAATTGGTGTCTGTGCCTTGACTGTATGCCCTGTCTGTATATTATCTGTCTGTGTTCTGCGTATGCTCAAACGCTGCTGAAGTCACTGCAATCTTTTAACGATCTAGCCGCTTGCCTATATATATATTATATATTTCTCAAAGTTCGCTCTATTTGCGATACTTTGATGTCATCTCGAATTTTCTTCTGATTTTCTTATAACAAAAATACATATCTAAAAAAATAAGCGAAGGGAAGTGACTGACATTGTTAGATTTAAAAAAAAAATTCCACCCCCGATAAATTAAAAAATTCGACTCTGGTCAATGTTAATTTAAATAATTTTTTTCACAAACATTTACATTACTATAAAAAAAACGTTTAAAATGCAAATTATTGTGAATTTTTTTTTTAGAAAAATTCATAATTTATTTATGAGTTAATAAGATTTTTTTTTTTTGTCATAAGTAAGTAAATAAAATTATACATTAAACAAACTTGTATAATTTGAATCTTTAAAGTATTTAAACTTCAAAAGTTTATAAATTATTTTATTTTTGTAAGTTTTCTTCAGGTCTATAGGAAATGGATAAAAAAATACTATTATTCCCAATAATAAGGATAGTAATTATAATAATTGAAATAAAAAATTTTTTAATTGAAATTTTTGTAATTTTTGACATTAAAATTATATTTGTAAGTTTATTTATTAATTAGTAATTAGTTCGTGATATACTATTTTTCTTCGTCTTTTTGTATGTTGACAAAAACATAAGTATTCTTATATATATTATTCTATTTCTATTCATTATCTTTTAGGCATGGTGTAGAATTAGAATTTTCATCGTATAAATATAAATTTAGTTATTTTTTTCATTAAAAATGAATTTTTTTTTTCACATTTTTTATCTGAAAACTTGTAATATTTCTTTGAAAGGCTTTTAATGCTTTTATTCACGTTCTTGTTCTTTCTGACAAAAATTTTTCTTCAAACGTTCATTTTTTGGGAACTTCATTTTTTTAAATCTTACTTTTTTTTAAAAATATTTTTTAAAAATAAATCTTATTTTGAAACTCTTTTTCAGAAACACGTCTTATTTATATATACATTAAGCTCGTTCGTCAGCTTGAAATTCGCACTGTTTATGCTTGAAAAAAAAAATAGTTTTTTCTTCTATATTTCTCCATTTGAAAAAAAGCAAGAAGTAGGGGCTAGAAATTAAAATTTTTAACGAACCACTCGTACTATTATAAAATCGAAGGATTTTCTTATATAGATATATTTGCATCGAATGTTTCACCCGAATTTTTATATTTAGGTTTAACAAAAATTAGACTAATATATGTATTGGTAGTTAGTTAATAATTAATTTTTAGAACAAAAAATTTGGTATCCCTTTTTTTCCCCTACTACTTGTGTACCCTTTAGCGTTGCTTTTTTTGCTTTTGTGACAAAATATTAAAAATTCATAATTTTTTTCTTACTTTTTAATACTATATTTATTGTTGTAAAATAAAAAAAAATTAAGTAGTAATAGAAAAAATTTAGAAAAAATATTTTTATAATCATTTTTTTTTTAAATTTGTTCTTTTTTATTTTTTCTATGCGTGAATATTCGCATTTTAAATGTGTACAAAATGGAAAAATAAATTTGAAATAAAAAGATTTTTTTTTGTAAATAAACATGTAAAATTTTTTTTAGTAGAATCGTGGAAGAAATTACTGAGAAAAAAAATGCACGCGTAGTGAATTCAGCTATGGAAAAATAGTGACGTAGACTTTTCCAGTTATGATTTCTATTTGCAGGCAATTTTTGCTAGTAGCATACCCGAGATAATAGAGCTCGTAGGCAGTAGGTCCAAGTACAGCGGTGAATACAAGCGGGAACACGGAAAGAGGTATTATTACGTTAAATCCACTCATCAGTCGTGTCTTGTCTATTAATTCTATTCTCCGTGTATATTATTCACTTTTTCGTTAAAAAATTCAGAGAATATTCTCTCTATTCATTCCATAAATAATATTATATAAAAATTCGATATTTTTTTCCCCAATTATATTCAAAAATAAAAAAAATTTTTTTTTCTATCTATTACCCCTAGGGAATAATAAATAAATTCACTCTCTTTTCATGTGCGGAAAAATATATTTACAATTTTTAATATCATAAAATAAATTTCCGTTACAAGAAAAAAAAAAAATTAAATACCTAATTGTAGGTATTTTGCCAAAAACCCCAAATTTTCATCAATTTTGAAATAATTCTTTCCCGCTTTGTTTTATATAAAATCTTTACCTCTTGTAAATTTTCTTATATTGTTTTTTTTTCTTTTTTTTTAAATAAAATTGCTTCTTTCTGTTTGTATATCTTCAGAAAATTATTAATATTTCATATCGTATAATATATAAGGGTCTTCAATCTGCTGTGCTTTGTAAGTTATCCTTGCATGTAGATTATTTTTCAATACTATTTTTTTTTTTTTGGAAAATTACTAATTTAATGAAAAATACATATTTTTTTAAGCATGATATTCAATTTTATGATAAATATAAATTAAAAATTTATTGCATGTTTAAAATCCGTTCTTTCTGTAATATATTTTTGAAAATATATTTTAATGCATATATGCTTTTGAATTTCAATTTAAAATTAATATGATAATTATAAAATAATAATTTTTGTATTAAGTATAATTAAAATAATTTAATAAATTCCTCACAACTATTATCTATTTATCTTTTAATTAAACTTTAATTGTTTATTTTACCTTTTGTTACCATTCAACATTATTTACAATTAATTCATAAAAAGATAAAAAAAAATAATTTTTATTCTAATTAATAATTTAAAAAATTTACTATATTTGTAATTTCTAATTATTCTATTTCATTGTATTTTTATTATAAATTTATTTGGTACGAATGACCAATTTAGTCTGCTACCCAAAAATAATTGTATTTTTTTATTTTAAATTGGAAAAGAATTCTCAAAAATTAATCTCTGCTGCCTTAAAAAAAAAATTTAGTATAATAATAATTTTTATATTTACTAATTGCTGATAATTTCTTTATAATTTGAATTTTACAAATCACAGACAGAAAATGCAATTTTTTTTTTAAAATAGTAATTTTTAAATAAGTAATAAATAAGTAATTTTTCTATCTATATTTTTCAAAATTTTCTTTGATATATTTTTTTAATTTAATTACTGAATATCATTTTTAAAAATCTGTAATTAAATACTGTAATATATTTCTAAAATATTTTGCCCTTATATATATATATATATTTGGCTTATTCACAAAAGCAACAAAGAAATATTTTTATTCTTTGTGAAATCTGTGATGATATACACTAGAAGAAAACTTTTTAGAAACAGCATCTTATGATATAAAAGATTTTTCACAGAGTTATACTACTATATACACACAATCAACTTTTGCACCATATTTGTCGTTCTTGACTTTTAAATTTCTATTCATAAATTCAATATATTCCCAATGTTTTACACAATCATGAAATAATTTTGAAAAAAATATATATTCTCGAAAACAATTTCTCAATTTCATTATAGAGAAAAAAAAAGATTTTAAATCTTTGTTTAATTATTCTATTTATTGTTGTTATTCCACTAGAATGTAGATAGATAGTTATTCCATTATAGAATGTGTCAAAAAAGTGATGAGGAAATGAATGAAAATTATATAAAAAAATTTATTCTATCGTATTTTCCATATATTTTTCTATTTCTCTCATTTTTTTGATACAATTTTTCTTACAAATAATTAAAAAAATATATTGCTGGGTTTTTTTTTTAAATTTAAAATTTTGCACTGAATTCTCGAATATGAGAATTTTCGTGGCGATAATATAATATTTTCTCTCTTTATATGTTCACCAGAGTAAAAAATTAAAAAAAAAAAAAATTGTATTTTGAAGTAAATATAATATTTAACTCTTTTTCTCTTCCCTTATTTTTCTCTGTCACTCACTTTTCTCGCTATTATACTGACTTCGCTATATTAATAACAAATAAACAAAAAAAAAAACAAAAAGACAAAAAAAGAACGCAAATTAACAAAAAAAAGAGAAGAAAAGAAAATGTGAAAAATATATAATTGGCACAAAGTTTTTTTTTAGAGTTAATTTTCACAAATATAATTCTAAAAAATCTGAAAAGAATGATAAATAATAATTAATATTATAATATACTTAGCAATTTGAAATGGCGTACACGAAACCCCCCCCCCAAAAAAAAATTTTAATCAAAAAAATACTAAAGGAGTGTGAAAGCGTTTTTTTTTTTTTTTTTTTTTTTTTAAAGTGGTGAAGCAAAGTGGCACTTCTTGATAGAGAGAGTTTTAGTTAGGGTTTCTATTCTGATGGAAACGGATGATTGTGGGTGTGTAGGCGGTGTTCGCCAGCTGGATCCCAGAGATTACGGAGCTCGCCGCGAATCGCTGCAAGTACGGTGGCCAGTACAACCGCGAGCGTGGACGCAGGTACCCCAGAAATCCACCTACGTGGATCCTACCTAAAATGCCCTAATCTTAGCCCTTAAAAACTAATCCCCTGGTAGTCGCATATAGAGACGAGGAATAATTGCGGATAGCAAGCTGCTCCTTCCTTATTTTTATTTCATTAATATTTTTAAATATTATATTTACATTATCTTTTTTTTTTAATTATAATTTATATTTTTTTTAAATATAATTAATAAATATTATAATTTTAATTTAATGTAATTTTTGTCTGACTAAAATAGACTTTTACTACTGACAACAAAGTGAAAATATTTCTGAAAGAATAAATATTGACTTGTACTACTGACGAAAAATTATAAATTTATATTGTCTAACTAAAACCCATTTGTATTATATTGAGAAAATTTCAATAATATATAAAGTCTGACTAAATATTTACATTTACTACTTAGAAAATTAGAAATATTTAATTATACTGTGAATATAATTATAAAAATTTTTAGTCTGACTTAAACTCATTTATACTACTGATAAAAATTACAAAAAAAACAGGAAAATAGTCGAATTAAATATTGACTCGTACTACTGATAAAATTACAAACTTCTAGAATGTCTGACTATTTAACCTAATACTAAAAAAATTTATTAGAAATTTACAAAGACTGATGAAATTATTGACTTGTACTACTGACAAAAATTACTTTTAAATGTCTGACTAAATATTTATTTTTACCACTGGAAAAATGACAAATGTTTAGAATGTCTGACTAAAGTCCCATTTATACTACTGATAAAATTTAAAAAAAAATGTGAAAAGTCTGACTAAATATTTACGTTTTCTACTTAGAAAATTATAAACATATACTTATACAGTTAATAAAAATAATAAAAATTAAAAAAGTCTGACTAAAACCAATTTATACTTCTAATATAAAATTACAGAAAATTTAATAAATTCGAATTAAATATTGACTTGTACTACTGACAAAATAACAAACGTCTAAAATGACTGATGAAATATTTATATTTATCTAACTGGGAAAATTTAATACAAATTTTAGAAAGTCTGATTAAATAATTGACTTATACTACTGACAAAAATGACAAATTACTTTAAAAAAAAGAAGTCAGACTAAATTTTTACTTTCACTACCGATTTTCTAATTTACGTAATATTGTCTTAAACTACTGATATAATATCAAAAAAAGTTGAACTAAATATATTGACTATTGACAAAATTTGCAAAAACAAATAAAAAGTTGAAATTAATAAATTGACTTGTACTACTGGAAAAAAATTACCTATGTCTATCTAAATATCTACTTGTACTACTGGAAAAATACAAAAGTCTAGAATGTCTGACAAAATATTTACCTATACTACTGGAAAAATTTAATACAAATTTACGAAGTCTGATTAAACATTGACTTGTACTACTGAAAACCTAAAAAAAACTTGCCTGACTTAATATTGACTTGTACTACTGATAAAACTCCAAAACTTGTCTGATTTAATATTGACTTGTACTACTGAATTTAAAAAAAGTCTACCTAAATATTTATTTATACTACATGTAAAATTACAAAAAAAAAAAATTGTAATTCTGATTAAATATTGACTTATACTACTGATTATTGTAAAATTAAATTTTTTTTTAAAAAATAAACAAATCGAAAATTATATGCAACTACATTTTTATCGCATATAAAATCGATCGCTCCAAGTAACTGAACATATAACAGTTTGGACGAAAAGTAAATTGAAATTTAATTGCCAATTAAAATTCAGGAAGGATGCAATGCAAAGGAAACTGACAACTATGCTATCCGTGAATATAACTAACCCTCTAAATTAGCGTAAAATATATCCTTATTCCAGTGATCCGTGTTTGTTAGAGAGATCGCATCCTGGATACTTGATCCATCACACTTAAAACCAACCTGTCAGAAAAAATGCCTTTTTTTTGAAAAAAAAAAAAATTTTTTAATACTAAAAAAAAAACCATCTGCTGAATCACTGCTTTCTTACCACTTTATTATATAATATAATATTTATATACCAGTTGGCAAATATTATCTTTTGGTATAACACGTGCTGGTACATGCTTGAATAATAATAATAATAATTATTATAATAATGATATTAATAATGTAAGAAAAAAAAATAATTAAAAACACACAAGTCTTATATTTTGATATATTATATAAATATAATATATATATATACACACACACCGTAGATGAGATAAAACAAAATTATATAATGCTGCATCCGTTTATATTGTTATATATACGTATATATCTATATCGCCTTTTACGTAAAGTCGCAAAAATATATATAGTTGATAATTTTTTGCTCCCCAATTCTCTTGAATTCGAAAAGAGTAGAATTTTTTTTGTAGACATATAATAT